ACCTAATATATATAATGCCCACATACATAATCCCCATATACACAGAAACAGGTGTGCACACACATGTGCCAGCAATCACACAGGCTGCCTGGTCTCCCTGTCTACAGCCAGGGCAGGCACAAGATGACAGGTGATGCAGCAGGTGTGTCTAAGATCTAGCAAACCCAAACTGTCAGCAAGTTCTGTGAATAGTGTTGGGATTCCCATTGGTTGACAGAGCGAGGGTGGTCCAAAATAGGCAATAGGCAGTCTGCTATCCATGTTCCTCTGCAAGAGGCAGCAGCCACCAGCAGCTTCTTGGGCCAAACGTGGAAAGAATAGGAGGATGGGCAAACAGTTCCCTGAGTGCTGCCATTTCATGCTTTGGGATGGGTCCACCAGGAGGACGGTGCCTGCTGCACTTACAAGACATTTCAAGATGGAGATTGGAGGATGAGCGGCACAGAACTGGACAAACGTGCCCCACTGAAATCCCAGTGCCACCATTCAGCTCCAAGGAGGAGCCAGGAACAGAAGCGCAAGAGTCAGTGTCCACAAGAAGCCCTGTGGCACACTTCAGTCATGCCCAGGGAAAGCAGCATCGCAGCAGCCCAGCAGCCCTGAGCCAGCCCCTGCACCTTGGGCCTGCTCTGGCTGCAGCTGCTCAGATGCTGCTAGATAATGCTTCTCCCTAGCTCAAGTGGGGTTTAGCACTTCAGAAGAGATGCATTTTGCAGATAAGAACAACTTCCTCTGGCTGCTGATTAGATAAGAGACTTGCCTGCCCACTCTCCAGCCAGGCCTGCAGTCTGTCAGTGCTGAAAAACTCCCTCCAGCCCCTCTGCCCTCTGCCAGGCCCAAGAGAAGCCTCCCAGCCTCCATCTGTCTTCACACCACCCTGGTGCATGGGGACGGAGGTAGGGGTGCATTAGGCATGCATGAAAATGTCACGGTGAAACCCAGATTTTGTATGCTAACCAAAAAGTTTTAATAAAATCCAAAAGAAGAAGGGACATTTGCACCAGGACAATCGGCTAAAAAATATGTGACTACAATCTACTAAAAATATCCTTGTGCAACAAAGTACCATGTATAGTGAGAATGCACAATGAAAACCTGAGCAAGAGGACTCCTTATAATTCCAATTTCAGTCCTGCACTCGGCTGAGTCAGTGTTATGAAAAATAAAGGATATTTTATACTCTTCACTATTACTTTTCAGGATTCCCAGGGGAGGGAATATGTGGACTTTTTCCTCCTTTTTTTTTTCCTTCCAATTTTGCTAGGAGAGTCAAACTCTGGTGCAGCACACCCTGTGAGGGGAAGCCAGGTAGGCTTGGCTTCTCATAGTGCCTGGCTGAAGGCCAAGTTGAGCTGCCCTTGGGCATAGGGTGCTCCTCACTGTTGTGGGAGGTCATTCAACTAAGTAGACAAAGATGCACATTCTAGAACACACCCTCTCTCTGAATTCACTCCCCTTTCCTTCTGTCTGAGCCCTGCACAAGGTTGTCCCGTTGACAGTCAGTCAGGGGTCAGGTGTCCCCTGAAGCCCACCTCAAGTTCAGCTGTGGGTGGGCCTGTGCTTTTGCTGGTTTTTCCCTTGAAGTCTATGCCGAGCAGCACTGGCCCAGTCTCCTGGGGTGCTTCTGTGGGTTCAGCCTGGGATCACCCTGGACTCTGCTTTCCTTCTCCCTCTGTTCCAGCCCACTGAACCTGCCTCCCCGAGCTGTAGTCAGGGAAGAGGAGTGGGGGCCCAGGATCCTCACCAGGTGGCTGGGTGGGAAGGACAGCACAGCCTTGTGTGGGGCCTGGAAACTCAGATCCATTCTAGATCACAGGCGGCAAGAGTAAATCCCAAATGGAAAACCATAAAGAAGAAGACACAAAGCATTACTGGGAAAAGGAAGAAAGCACTAGGCTGTTAGTCTTCTTGCACAAATCACCATCTGCTCTCTAGACACCAATCCCAACACAGTCCCTGAAGGAGAGTTTTATGAGGCCCTGGTAAAGAGTTCTGTGTAAACTCAACCCACTTTGCACTCCCTCTGCACATGTGCTCTCTCTGGCGACTGAAAGACTGAGGAAACTCAGAATGACTGCTTCCTCAGCTTCAAATGGTTTCAGACAGAACCACTTCAGAGAGCTGAGAGTCCTCTCATTTTTAAAGAGACCACTTCATAAGAACAAACTATAGTCTCATTCAGTAGACCATAGATGTCTATTTGCCAGAAAGTTCTTCTTGGAGTCTAACTTAAATTCAAGCTGCACTTCAAATCTTTTGTTTCTTCTTACTCAGACTTGGAAGAAAATGGAGGCCAAATATGGAGCTTGTCCAGTCCTGTCTCCTGGCTGTCACGCTCCCAGCTATTTATGCACAGCTCTAGAGTCCATTCAGCACTGGATAAAGCCCTAAGGTGTGAAACCCTAACTTCAAATTCTGGGGATGATCCATTCAATTAGTGGGGGATCCATAATTCTAGTGTCTCCTGCCAACTAGTTTTATGACTTGGTTTACTCTTGTTTGGATTCTGAAGCTGGACGTGCCTTTCCCAGTGTGCCGTAGCTTTTTCCAAAGCACACCTGTCTCTTTCTGAACAGTGTTGAGCTGTTGGCAGAATGACCCAACCTTCTCCATGTCTGCGGACGTGTTAGTTCTCACCACTGCTGGGAATGTCCAGTTAGTTCTTACCCTTGACTTGAGCTCAATCTCCCCTTTGGTTTTATCCTATTCTAACAGATTTTTCTCTTCTCTGTTTTTAACTTGATTATTTTATGGGTTAATTTTTTGGTCAATAAACTCTTTTATCTTTTTATCTATGCTTCCCCCTCTGCCTTTCACAATGGAAGTGACACAAGTCCTTAACCTACAGGACTGGAATTGCTGGGCTACACTAGCACGCTGTTTTCCTGCTTTTATCTGTCCCTGCTAGTCTGTCTTCAGCATACACATCATCTTCTTTTCCACCTGGCCTCTAAACCCATTCTGGACAGCTGCTACTTGCTCTTAACTTTGGGAAACTGCGCTGGGCAGGCATGGTAGCATATGCCTTTATAATCTTAGTACTTGGTAGGCAGAGGCAGGAGGATCTCTGTGAGACTGAGGTCAGCCTGGTCTACATAGCGAATTCCAGGTCAGCTGGCCTATTTCAAAAAACAAAACAAAACAAATAAAAAGATGGGGAAACAGGCTTGGAGGGGAGATGAGAGGTTCTGCCCTGAGTGTCACTTCTAGGGACCAGGGGTCTCAGACATACCCCTTGCTGAGACACTTCTCTTACCTACCTCCTTCTGATGCTCTGCCCTTTCCTCCTGCCCAGGACTATTCTAGCTCCTAGTGACATCCTTTCCTCTCCTCTGTTCTAATGAGCCATTCCCATGGGACACTGCCAGTTTATTTACTTTAATCTGTGCATTTCCCCTACATTCTTCTGTTGTTTCTGAATGTTATCTTCACACCACTCTACTTAATGTTATATTCTACCAATTCTGGTACACATAGCTTGGGGCAACATGTGGAAGTAGGTAGATTTCCTTTAGGAATCACACAGTGGGGCTGGAGATGGCTCAGTGGTTATGAGCACTGGCTGCCCTTGCAGAGGATCCAGGTTTAGTTCCTAGCACCCACATGATAGCTAACAACCATCTCTAACTCCTGTTCCAGGGCACCTTCTGGCCTCCACAGGCACTGCACACATGTGGTACACTTACATACATGCAGACAAAATACTCATATACATAAAAATAAAAGTTAATAAAATATTTTTGGAAAAGAATCACACGGGACAAGCTGGCCGCCTGAGCAGCTGGGGCTGTGGCTGTGCCTGCTGCCACTCCCTCCCCACATCTGATCTGTCCTCTGGGCTTCTGCTGTGTCCTCCTGACTTGTAAGCAAGTACTCCTTTGGCTCCCAGATATCTTTGAGAACCTCCACTCTGTGTTACAGGGACTACTTCAAATAGCTTTCCCTGCCTGTCCACAGGGCAGCGCCAACTGCTACTGCTAAACCAGGCAACTAAATTCTCCAGGGCTTTAAAATTTCTCAAGTTTGAAAGTCCTATTTTCTGAACTTTACCCTGACAGGAAAAGTGCAAGAGGCAGGGAGAGGAGCTCCTAGAAATGACAAGCCCACCTCTAGTTCTAGGGAACACCCATACAGGGCGCATCTGAGACTGAGCACTGGACCTGGGATGCAGAACACACAGTCCAGGCAGCCAGCCAACAGTGCCAGATGAAGCTAATCCTCCCCAGGGCAACTGCCCATACTGTAAGGTCAAAGGGATGAGGTACCTACTGCATTTTGCTAGCACAGGGACCTATTTTTCTATAACAAGTGAACTGTATGTCTTCCCTACTCCCCAGGAATCAGCTTGCCTTCTGGTTCCCTAAAGGATGCCTACAGCATGAGAGTTCCAAGGAGACTCCATAGCTGTGAGATCTCAGGGCCAGCTCACCTCTTTCTCCATGAGGACCAAGCCACAGGTTGGCTCTCTGTTTAGAAAGAGACACATGTGCTTTAGAAAAGCTATGAGCCAAACTGGGAGTCAGAGGTCACTGGACTATTTCTTCTGCCTCCTGGCCTGAGCCCTTTGCTGTGTTAGGAGAATTTCAGGCAGGTTGTGAGCCTCTGTTTGTGCCTGGGTTACATGCAAAAGCACCACTAAGGGCACAAGCTTCAGGGACTAAATGTACACCTACACTGGCTTAGTGCTTTGAATCAAACTGACCTTTACACTTGTGTAAATGTGTTTCAAAAGGAACCCTGTAAGCAGTACAGCACATAGTAACACTGAGATCACTTGCAATAGACAGAAGACAACCTTAAAAAGAAACACATCAATCAAAACAGGTTACCTGGCTCCCAACTTTGGGAAACCCTGAAATACGGGACTGTCCTCAGAGGACAGAAGGAATGATCACACCTACCTTCCCCAACACAGCATCCATTTCCTAATAAAAAAAAAAAAAAAGAACTCCTAACTGTATGTATGCGGAAGACTTCAGGGCACCTGGTGGCCCACTTACCCATGCCTCGCTCACTTTTGGAGTTCTGCTGTGCTCCGGAGGTGGTGGAAAGGTCTTCAGGGACAGGCATGGGTTCATCACCTTCTTCTGGGGTGTCACTGACAGGGGGGCTCTCCTTCCCTATGGAGACAAATCAGAGCTTTTCTGGCAGTTGTCATTGGTGGGAAAGCCTTGGCACCTAGGCTTCACTTTGCTGGCATGAGCGGGCAGGATGAGGGGAACACTGTGCTCAGCTGATACTTTCCTTTTGGGACCAACATGCATTTTTCTTTCTATAAAAGAGTATCACTACCCACCCAAACAGAAAAGGCACTAGAGAACAAAGATTTGCAAAAGGAAAAAAAGTACCTAGAACCTTAGATTCCCAGTGCAAAAATCACTACACAAAGAAATTTATATTACAGAGCATATGTGGTGATATATTATTTTTCAAAATACACCAATGTTTAGATATTCTCAATATATTTTATTGCTAGAGACCATATTTCCACAATTTTATTTCTAATCAAGCATATTAAGATTTATCTCTATTCTTTTTCTATTTTGTTTGTTTTAGACAGGGTCTCACAATGCAGCCCTAGTTGGCCTGGAACTCACTATGTAGACCAAATTGGTCTCAATCTTATAGCGAGCCACCTGCCTCTGCCTCTGCTTTCTGAGTGCTGGGATTGAAGGCATGCACCAATCCTACCCAGTCCTTCTTTTTCCATTTTTGAATCTATACTGTTTTCTATTTCTGTTACTTTTAAACTGTACTTGATAAACATTCAGCCAGCCAGTTTCTGCACATATCCTTAAAGGTCATCATCACATCCATGTCTGGAAATGTAATGGTGGGGCTAACCACATCTGCCTTTTTTAGTTTCCTCACATGTTTTGACAAACTTGCAGTCCACACAAAGAAAAAACTGGCTACATTCCACAAAATGGGATTTGCTGAATGAAACTGGACTCTGTAGGATGATTTATTATTTATTTATTTACTTATTTATTTATGAGATGCCATTTTCTCTTTATTATTATCTTTGACAATTACATACATGTATATAAAAATACTTTTGATTGCAGAAGAGGAGGCGGAAAGACTGTAAGAGTCAGAGGGGGTGGATGACCACAAGGAAACAGAATCTTCCAGACAGCTGGTCAGTTACTCATATGAATTCACAGCAATGGTGACAGGATGCACAAGTCCTATGCAAACTCAAAACAGGCAAAAATTTCAGCCTAGATATGGGGAAGTAGTTAAAAAATCCCAACTCAATCTAAGGAACTTTTGGCAATTAATGACTGTTGGGAGGGGAACAGACAGTGTCTTACAGGGATGGGACTCTTGGTGGGCACAGTGGATGGACCCACATTGAAGGACATTTGGGGACACAAATCAAAGTCTATAGGCCATATTATATATGAGTACATTAAATTGTGTGGGAGGCAGCAGGGGGAGGTGCAGATAAGGAAGGGGATCGAAAAACCATCAAACTATATTGTACAAAAATCTCAAAAATTTATTAAGAATTAAAATCAAAAATATATTTTGGCCATTTTCACTCCCCATTGCTCTCTCATTACCCTTCCAGTCCTACTGAGCTTCTTCCCAGCAAGTTCTCCTGTGCTATCTTTAACTGAATTAGAATGAAGTTTGTCCAGCACCTCTAGGAATGGGGAACTCTCTCCTAGTTCAAAGAAATTGCATCACAGTTAGAAAATGCTCCTTTCCCAGAGGCTGAAGCTCTGGCAGTTTCTACCTTTCCAGAGATAACTGAAAGGGCTAACAGACACAAACCATATGGAAACACAGATGATCAGGACCCAAACTGATGCAAACTACCCACTACAGCTGCTTACAGAATACAGTTTGGCTCAGGATCCCAACAGTAGGCTACCAGGGCAGCAACCGACTGGACTGTGTGCCTGTTGACCTGGCAACCAGGTCCAGTAGGCAAAATTGCCTTCCCACAGAGACCAAGTCAGACTTCTGGGAGCATGTGTAAACAACTTGCCAATTGGTAGTGTCCTGAGATCATGACAATGCATGGTGTTTGGGTCAACTCACAAGGATTGTACCAACATTTTAGAGGACGGGCAAGACCAGCAAAATCATCTCACTATATGAAGCAAACTTTACTGGAATCTTTAAAATAGAATCTGTGCAGGCACCAAGGGCAAGCTCTGGGGGATAGAGAAACAGACATTATAATATAATATCCCAGCTTAGCTGTGATTAGCACAATTGGCATATTTTCAGAAAGAGCATTATTGGGTATATGTGGATAGCCAATAAAAGATGAATAGTTAAAGATAGGGTAAAAGTATAAGAATTTCCCAAGGAAAAACAAAAGGCCCAAGAAATTGATTAAAAGTACTCACATTATGCTAGAGCCTTGGACGGGTGCATTAGATACCACTGTCTGTACCACCCTAAATAGAAGACCTTAAGAGCAATGAGGGCTGGGTGTGTGGTGCTAATTCTCACCTCTTCCATGAGTAAGGAAAAGCTAACTAGGAGGATGCAGAAGGTATATGAACAACCTGACAACTCTTACTTTCATACAAAATGATAGAGCGGAATAAAGTTTTTCAAACTTTGGGGACTTTAGGGAGGTAGTCAAAGGAATTTTATTTTGGTAAGGATAGAAAAATAACCACAGGATTGTTATCAAAAAAAATCTTCTATATAATGTAGACACTGAGGGGTAGAGAGGCTGGATAATCAGACACCCACACCACTCACCTTTGCAAAGGCCTTTAAAGAACCTCCATGGAGATGCCAGTGGGACCTTGATAGCCAAAACAGAGCCCTTATAAGAAGCTGGTGCGTGATTCAGCATGTACAGAATGTATGGAGTCTGCCTGGGTATTCCTGTCATTAATATTGAGTGGGAGACAGAGAAACCAAACTTTTTTGACTTCTTTTCTTTTACTTTATTTTTATTATATGTGTATTGTGTGCATGTATGCAGGTGCACCCATGTCATGCAATGCCTGTGGAGGACAGAAGAGGGCGTTAGATACCCTGGAACTGGAGTTAAAGATGGTTGTTAGCCACCATGTGGGTGCTGGGAACTGAACTTGGGTCTTCTGCAAGAACAGCCAGTGCGTTTAACCACTGAGCCACCTCTCCAGCCCCTTTATTTATTTTCTTACAATGATCTTTCCTACAGCTTTGGTGTCATCCGGGATGCATATAGGCCCATGTAGACACACCTAGAGCTGAGAGAGGATCATAAAGGTCAGGGTTTAGACCAAACATGTCATACATCATGCTAAACTGCATGCAAAGGACTCTTAGGTACCTGTGTTTTAAAGTTTGACTAATCCATCTACTGGAGAATAATCAACCACATTTCTTCGATGATGATCCTAATAACAGGTACATTTCTTAACTGCAATTGGCTCGAGTTCCTACACTAAAAAGCCAGCTTACCAGTGTCCCTGATCTTGGTACTTCCATTTTTTTTTTCTATATGGGGTCAAGATGTAATGAAAACAGTAGGGATCATGATTCTAAAATACTGTGTATCAGACTGATCAATAAGAACTCTCTGAGCAGAAGAAACCACACGGGGAGAAAGAAGAATAAAAGATCAGTCCCCATGTACAGGGCACTGAGTACAAAGTCAGACTGGAAGGAGCAAAGTCAGATGTATTCACATGCCTGCCAAGAGCGTGGCATTAATTCAACCCTGCCTGGCCTCAGCTCACTGATGGTTTTTAAGAGGCCCTCTGATTTGCCTAAAAGCCCCCCAGTGTGAGTCCTGTTGCAGAAATGTTCACCCCTCAGGGGAGCCTCCGTGCCCAAGGACCTTTGTATTCTTTTACTGCTGAACAATCTTCATGAGGAAAATTTACCATTTCATGAAAATCTTCATGATACCCAAGTTGTTTTACATGTTGACATTCATCCCATTAACCATCTGAACAATTTCTTTCATAAAGAAAGTGTTAAGTAAAGCCAACACACCTCAAATATGGACATACTGGTTGATCTGGGTTATAGCTCTGGTGTAACCAACTGAAGGGCTGATGGGAACAGAAGATGGGCCACCACTTTAGAACTCTTTCCTCAAGTATAAAAGGAGGATTAAAAAAACATGATTTGTATCCAGTTCAGAGGGATGTGGTGCAAATAAATTAAAAAATGAGTGTAAATTCTAATCTGTTAAATATGCTTGTGGTGTCATTTGTTAACCTGTGGTATACTACAGGCAGTAAGGTGTGGCTTGCACCTTTCCCTGACAGTGTGATCAGTGGGTGGGAGCACAACACAACAAGAGTTTAAATCAAATGGAATAATTCTAAGAAGCAAGTAAAACTTCACTTATTTAGGAGATGAAACTTCTGGATGAATTAGAAATATATCAATGTATACTTAATTTGCCTACTGCCTATGAGTCAAGTATGTCTATGAGACATTTCTGTAGGCAAATTAGAAAAATTGTATCCTTAATATGTCAACTGCAAGCAAATGATTTCTCAAGTAGATTGGAATTTACCCAGCTACCCAGGGAAGCCCTGAGATTCTCTCCCAAATGCATAGGTTTTTGATATACACTGTCCCCAAGGGGGCATAATATCTGGAGTAAATAAAAGCTCAGACCACAGATCACCACTCCAGAGATTAAGAAACCCATACCCTAGGGCTGAAGTGGGCTCCTACTCCAGAGCCATCTCTGGCTCTCTGTGGGACTTCTGATCTGTTTCTTAAATGCTGAGTCTCAGCTTCCTACAATTTAGAGATAACTTCATCCTCTTCAGTGGGTGTTTGCAAGGTGAAGAAGAGGAAATGCTGAGGACAGTATTTGGTTAATACAAAGTGCTCAATCAATGTGATTTACTATGATTAACTAGGTAAAACACTTCCATTGCTATTTAATATATATGAGGCTCCTTTTCCTAAGCAGATTGTGTGTGTCTACAGGGTGCACTCCTTGTGTCCACGTTCCAACAAACACATTACAAACAGCATTAAGAAAACATCAAATACATAGTTCAGGCTACGGGAGCCAGAGGAGCCTCCAAGATCCACTGGCTCGAGTCCTTGCTGCTTGAGAAGCCACCGTGCTCCAGGAGGAGAACTGGCTCAGCCCCACAGCTGCAGTCAGAGATGGGCAGGGAGACACTCTTTCAACTCCTGTACACCACCACTTTAACTTTAGAAGCCAAATCCAAACCTAAACCATTTACATGAGTATTTTGGAAGGACTGATGAAGAAGATTAAGCAGAGCATAGCTTTACAAAGTTAGTAACAAGTGCTCCAAAGGAAAGGACAGCTTGCTTTAAAGGCATTGTGTTCAACCCTGAAGACTGTAGGCCAGGAGAGCTATGAATTGTGCCCCAAAAAACTTGCTTACAACATGAGGGGCGTGCGTGTGTGTGTGTGTGTGTGTGTGTGTGTGTGTGTGTGTGTGTCTTTTTTTTTCTTTTTTTGGTAACTTGATTGCAGGTTCTTGAGTATGAACTTCATAGATTACAATGCCATGTCTGAGTGTCAGAAGACTAGACACACCTGCAAGTTGAACCCATTTCCTATCAGTAACCTTTTCCCAATTAGTGGACTCAAGTCAGTAAGCATTATCTGCAGTACCTGTCAATCTCTAGGCTTGTCCCCAGCTTACAGGGAACACACTATGGGACAGAGCAAGGGGCTTGAAAAAAGGTGGGTACTGAGGACTCTTCCTTTTTTAGTATTTCATACTTTCAGGGGAAATCCTATCAAATTGCTGATTTTGAACATCTTATGAAAAAGAAGATGATTCAGTAACATATTCCTCAATGTGTTATGAAGAATATCAACACCTAGGCTGGGAACATAGCTCAGTGCTTGCCTCACATGAACAAAGTCCTTACCTCCCCCACCCAAGTCCTGCAAGAAAAAAAACAAGCAAACTAAAGAAAAACAAGTCAATTCCTGTTTAGCCAAATGTACATCATTTCCCATAACTTCCTACCATTTTGACCAGTAAGAGAAAAAAAGCAAATATTGGTTTGAATTGGAGAAATATCAAATTTAAAGAAGCCTAAAAGTATCCATTCTTTACTAAAACTGACATACTCTATGCATGCTCTAATCACTAGAATGCTCAAGGTTTATCAGAGCTCAACATTAGGGTTGTAGAAAGGATAATTCCTTTGCTATGGCATAAAAAAATTTCAGACCAAATTTTTTCAAACAAAAAAGGGGGTGAAGGATATCTTATTCCTCTAAGCCATTTTGTTATCCATGCCCCCAGCTGTCTGCTCCTTTAAGGCATCCCACAACATATTAAGTATTTAGCATAATGTTAAGGGCAAGCAAAGTATTTCAAGAAAACAAGGCTTTTGTTAGCTTTGAGACCAAGAAGGAAAATCAGAATACTGACTGGTCCTCATAGTTCACATTTTAGAGATGGCTTTCTAGGCCATGGACTTAGGCATGTGTGTCTTTATTATTTCAAAATTTTTGCTAACATACAAAAGCTGCACATATTTATGTGGTACAGTATGATGTTTGATATTTCAGTTCATGCATGCAGTGTGTGACAACCAAATCTCGATGTGTGGTTGGCATATCCACAGCTCATACTTAGCATTTCTTTAAGATGAGTAAATTCAGAATCCTCTTTTCTAGGCATTTTGAGATACACACTATATTACTGTCAATTATAATCACCGCACTGTGAGTTTATTCCTCCTGAATCTGGCTTTGTGTCCACTGACCAACCTGCCCCTTTCTCCTCTCTCCCCTACAATCCCAAGTCTCTAGCAGCAACTGTTTTCCTCTCAACTTCTTTTTAAAAGATAAATGTCTAAATATCATTTAATTCATCCATATTTAAGCATATCGTTTACTTACTACCCAGTCTTGAGCAAATATTGATATGTCCTTTATTGGAAGAAAACATTGAAATTATCACATAAATAAACATAAAAGTACAACTACAACATAGGCTGAGGAATTATATAAAGCTATGAAGGCCTACATTAGGGGACCTGCTTCCTTTTTGGCTGTATTCTTTGTTATTTACAAATGTGTTAAAGCTATTTTCACCGCAACAAACTGCCATCGTCTCCAGTTGGACACTGAAAATATCACTACATTTTGTGTCTGGAATGTTTTTTCCTCCTCTTTTGAATCTTGTTTGCCATTTAGAAATCAGTTCAGGGTCTGGAAAGATGGCTCAGTGGTTAAGAGCACTGGCGACTCTTGTAGAGGACCAAGGTTTGATTCCCAGCGCCCACATAGTGACTAACAACCATCCGTAACTCCAGTTCCAGGGGATCTGATGCCCTCTTCTGACCTCAGGCGTTGGATAACATGGGTACACTTACATACACATGCAGGCAATACACTCATACACATAAAAAATTTAAACATTTTAATTACATTTATTTGTGTATGTGTGTATGTATGTACGTGATATGTGTGTGTGTGTGTGTGTGTGTGTGTATGTTTGGAGTTTTCAATGCCTGGCTTATTTCACTTAATGCCCTCTGGTCTATTCCTGTTACCCTAAATGGCAGGATTCTAACCTTCTTATGGTTAAACAGTATTCCATTTGTATACACATACCACATTTCCTTTATCCATTCACCCACTGGTGGGCATTTAGGTTGATTTCATCTCTTGCCCACTGTTCTGAGATTAGGACATCAGAATACAGGCCTCATGTGGACCAAGGGTGTCTCATTCTTATTATAAAAATACTTTACTATTTTTATTTTATATGTATATGTGTACTTCCTGCATGTATGTAAGTGCATCCGTGTCATGCAGTGCCCAAGAAGGATAGAAGAGGGCATCAAATCCTCTGGAACTGGAGTTACGGAGGGTTGTTACCCGCCATGTGGGTGCTGGCATTTGAACCTGGGTCTTCTGCAAGAGCAGCCAGTGCTCTTAACCACTGAGCCATCTCTCCAGCCCCTGGTGTCTTATTCTCATGCAGTATGTCATGCAAAATACAAACTCGGAATTCATCCCAGATGAAAGCAGCAAAGAAATGCTGCACAACAACAAAGAAGGGCTCCTCCTGCCTTTGGAGTTTAGCACCCCCACGTCTGTGTCTCAGCCTAGCCAGAAGCAATGAGCCCATGGGTCTTCTACCCTGATCTCTGTGTAAGCAGGCCCTGTTTTCTTGGGCTTTGGGGAGCATCAGGGAAGCCAAACAGGAAGCTCTAATGAGCTAAACAACTCCTTCTATTTAACCATTTTTAAAAACTGTTGTTTCAGAAGCATAATGGAAAATAAATTCAAATAACTCTGAAAAATGCAAGATAAAAGTGGTCTTCCTCCTCCCAGCTCACCGCTTTTCTTCCACCACTGGCTTCTGAGATGGAGTCCAGGTTGAGTGTGTGCAACTTATTCTACAAATGGAATTGTACATCACTTCTTTTTCAGTTTTCTATACATTTCATCTTCCCATACCTACATATTAGTATCCTCATTTTTAAGAGCTCTAGTTCAGATGTGTGAGCATATCACGAGCTTTTTTTGAGACAGGGTCTCCCTGTAACCCCAGCTAGCCTGAACTTGCTGTATAGACCAGGCTGACCTGGATTGCACAGAGATCTACCTGTCTTTCCCTCCCTGAGTGCTAGGATTAAAGGTGTGTGCCACCACACCCAGCTTTTTTTTCTTTGTCACAGTTTTTAAGTATTAAAACAATGCTACAAGTGAGCCTGTGCTTAAATACTCTGTGCACTTGTAAGAGTCTATTTTTTAAGATAGATTTCCTTAAACTGAAGTGGCTACAATGTAGAACATGAACAATTTTTGTTTGCATAGATAAAGCCTGATTCACAGGTCACTTTTCATTTCTCCCAAGTGGGAAGGCAACAGAAGGCCATCTTTTAGAAAAGATCCACTGTGTTCAGATCTCGCGGTATGCCTGTAGACTAAATACCACCTTTAAAGGCGACCTTTCACCATTCGTTGAATTCTGAGGAGTTTAAGTCTGAAGCCCTACAAAGGAAAGAAGAGCTGACAATGTGGAGGAGGAAGGCCTGTGAGACTGGCTGCAAACCAGTGGGACGGAACTGGGGATGTGCAAGGCAGGTCTCCATCAGGAGCATCTGCTTAGACCAAAATGAAAAAGCACAAACCAATAAGAGCCTTTCAGAACCTGAGGAGGCAGTTCAGACAAGCCACAGATGGAATTGACTCACCAGTGCCACATTAAGAAACCAGGCTTTTAGGACTGGTGAATTGCCTGGAGGCTCTGAAACAGAAACACTAAACCTCCAAGTCCAGGAAGCCTGCTTCCAGGTACTGTCCAGACACAGGGCCAGGCAGAAGTGGACTTCATACACTGATGCATATGGGAACAGGGCAAGTTCTGCTGGGCTGGTAGATGGCTCATCCTCAGTGCTGTCACTGTGACCTGGCCCTTTGCTTCTAGCAGTGGCACTCCATTTCCTGTGTCTCCTAAATTGGGCAGAGCTATGTGGAACAGGCCTGGAAAAATCCATGGAAAGGCAGCCATGTTTTCTACACTTAGCAGATGCTCAGAGATTCTGAGTTGGGCCTGCCATTATGCCTCTCATGTTACTTCATCCCCTCTTTCCTTCCTAATCCCCTCCAGTCTTTTAAACACCACCTATGTGTTTTGGCTCTAGGATAAACAAATCTACTATCATTTTCTCCAAAAGTACAGTATTCATTTAATCCTTTCTGAATTGCTATCAGATGTCACACTAAAACTAATTTCATTTTGGAGGTTTTTATGTTCATGTTCTCAAATTGGGACGATTTGAAGTAAACACTGACATGAATTTCAACTGGGTGTTTTCTTTGGCAGAGCGGCCCTCTGGTTCACACAAGCACAATACCCTTTGACTTCTGACACACAGGTATCAAGGAAGTCTCACCTGAAACTTGGGACATGTCTTGACCTTCATCAGTATCCATTGTCTTCAGATTATCTGAGAAAAACAAAAATGGATTTTAGTTTAAAGCAAACACACACACACACATACACACACGAGAGAGAGAGAGAGAGAGAGAGAGAGAGAGAGAGAGAGAGAGAGAGAGATTGTGCTTATGCTATTTAACAACAAGGCTATCTAGCAAGAATAATGCATTTTCCTCTCCACTTGCTGGAGTATCAGACTAGCACAGACCTCGATCCTTTTAAAAACAGCATTACAAAGATTTATAAAAATATCATTACAAGCACAGGAGGACCAAATTTGTTATTTATTGTTAATTTCCTACTGCATAATAACCCAAAATGCAAACTGACTGCAACAAAATTAAGCAGAAAATTAAATGGCCCTGGGTCATTGTAGGCACAGAATTCATTCTCTTGGCTGATCCATAGTTATGTTCTTTCTAATTTACTGAGCATGCATCGATGAACCTTGAGTCAGCTTGGTGACACGCGTACAATCAGCAATCAAAAAACGAAGCAATTTGCTGAAGAATGTCTCATTTACCCAGGCAGGGCTGCATATCTGAGCAGGAACGCACTACCTCCATCAATAATGAATACACCTCCAGCCTGGCAGATGGGCAACGTGCACTCTTGTCCTTGTCCCTTCACTCCTCAGCCCTGGCTTCAGACTTTACCAGTATACTCACACAGGGAGAACTGACAGAACAGGCCAGGAGAGGGCCCAAATCTGCTCTGCTGGCCTGTGGCTGGTGCCTTAGCATGGTTTGAACTGAAAATACCCACAGGAAGATACTGCCCTTTTGTGGCCACAGCAAGCGCTCCACAGACTCTACTGCAGGCTACGATAAATACCAGGGAGGGACCCAGAGGCAGTGGGGTGTTGGGACATGGCTTCTGGGCTGCAACTCCTAGCTCTCAGTGCTCAGAGTACGTGGCATCCTATAGGTCTGTGAGTTAGAAACCTGGAGCCAGCAGAATTCTGTGGTGACCTGGGTGGAATCTGCTCACCATGCTCTGGTAGACAGCCCTCAGAAGGGGCCCTCCCCTGCCAGTAGACCTAGGCTATCTGCTGAGTCTAAATCAGTTCCCCTTTTCTTATGCTGGTCAATGCTGTCTCTCTGGTTCAATGGGTGGACATGAGGTGAGGCCTGTTTTCAACAGAGACATGGGAACTGATGGGGGATTCCAATTGGGCTGAAAATTGTGTGGGCAGAGTGACAATATACAGGGTTCTATGTAACACAGAATCATGTGTAAGACATGGTATATACATGTAGCATATGCACACAGAATCATATATACATATATTTTAAATCTTACACATAAGCATTTGCATGTCAATTATAGTTATATATGTCATATATATATCTTTATCTTTAATATATTTGATGGTACATATGAATGGAATATGTATTTCCAACTTCAGGAATATCATTCTCATGAAGGAGCTGTAGATAGCAGCCCCTTTTTGTGGATATGGAGGTGGGTTCATCTGTTTCTGAAAGGACTTCACTGGTCAGAGGTAAGTGAATTTTCAAGGCTGACCTGGGGCAGAGGAGGACAGCCAGGGCCACAGGGAGACAAAGACCGTGTAGCTCACCTGGGCTTCTGGTCCAGAGTGAAGGTCTAGAGGTCACTAAAGTGAGACAAACCAGCTCCAGAGTTGAGCACAAACTAGCCCAAGAGTGGTCAGAGGGCTGGTCCAGAGTCTGTATGTGCTTCCGTGCTTTTCATAAAATCAGATACTAAAAAGATTCCAAATGTACTGGTAAAATATTTTCTTTTAATAATCATTTTTAAAATTTAACACATATCCCCATTATTGCATTTTAATGACTACTCATTAAAAGCTTGATTTACCTGATGGCTGCTCAGTATAAGATACCCAGGTATTTCCAACTCCAAGGAAGACAAGTGTTTCCTGAGGTCCGTTAGGGCCTTTCCCCTCTGAGCAGTTATCTCTCTCACAGGAGCTGGGGACAGGGTAGTGAAGTGACTGGCAGTACTCACACCAAGTCTATGTGGGTGCTGTGGGGACAGCAGTGCATGTCTGGAGCCCAGCAGCTCACCTCTGCACGTGGCCGCTCTGCTAGGTCACTCAGCTAGTCACTGCTAGCCTGGGCACGTGGACCCTGGTGACTCAGTCTACCTTGTTTGTTTTGATTTTCACATGCGTTTTCAAACCCCACTTCAGACTTGTGACCAGTGCAATGGCTCAGAGAGGGGTCCCTTGTTTGGTGTGAAGTTCAGTCATTGCCAACATTTTCAGATACTTAATAATTTCTAAGGCAGGAGCTGGAGTCAGTCTGCACTATGTTCTGTGAGTTCCACAGCCTGACCTAACATCAGTAGGATGACTTAACAAATCTCTCAAACTGCCCCAAACTCCAAATTCACACGTTTTAGGTAAAAATCAAAAGGAATGGTCTAACAATACCAAAAAGAGAGGGACAACACCTGACCTCTACTCAGACAAAGCTTTCCTGAAGGATTCCAACCAATCCCTGGGTACCACACAGACGCCAGGTGCTGTTTACAAAGGACCCACTTAGCAAGCACCTCTTCTCCTGCATGGAAGCAATGTGGAGTACTAGGAGAAGAGTGGAATTTAATGGGCCAGAGAGATGGCTCAGCGATAAAAGCACTTGCTTCCAAGCCTGGAAACCTGAGTTTGAGCCCCAGGATCCACACGGTGGAAGGAGAGAACTGACTCCTGCAAGCTGCCCTCTGACCTATCTGCGTGCGCGCGCGTGCGCACACACACACACACACACACACACACACACACAGGAAGTAGGATCCAGGCTGTCTAGAGGACTCTCTTTTCCGTGGTCCACACACACACACACACACACACACACCTTTTAAAAAACTTTAAAAAAAGAAAGTGGAATTTAAGCTTGGTATGATCTCAGCTAAAAAGGAGCTCACAGTCAGTAAAACCACCAAGGCAAAGTAATGGCATGCTTTCCCAAACTTTCACTAGTCTGAAAAGTCAGGATCCTTAGGGCTGGGAGGGAGAGGTTAGAAGGAACAATCATTTCAGAAACCCATTGGGATGGTCTGCTTTGCATGGGGAAAGCAAACAATTTCAGGGGGGAGTGAACCCAAAGAAAGGAGAAAGCACAACTGTATCAGTAAACTAGTTTTCAGCTGTGCAGTTCTTATAGCCATGAATGCTTTTATTGTTTCTTTGGAGCAAGCAGTTCTAAATCTTGCACAAGGGGAAATAGATGCAGAGATAAGTGCAGGCCAGCGTGGCAGAGGCTGCCCGAGGCTGGCCCTAGGACAGGGCAGTGAAGCTTCTCTGCAACTGACCATCCCTCCAGATCTTGCTTTTCCTGTCTCCTTCATCTTACTTTCCTCCCATCTCTGTCTCCCTCTCCCTTTTTTTTCCCTCTTTCTCTGTCTCTTTTGATTAAGCAGGGAGAAACAGGTTTCAGTTCCTTGATTCAGATGGAAGAAGTCAACACATCACTAATGTTAGAGAAGAGGAAAGCATAGGTTCTAGGCCTCAGGCTGCAAAGAAGAACCCCTGTGCTCTGGGGACCAGGCAAGGAGGCGCAGACTCAAAGCCTCTGTAGACCCTGGGAGCTTCCCTGGGAAACCAGGGGCCTTTCCTATAAGCAAGCTTCCTTCTGCACTTTGCTCTTGCCACATAGGAGAGGCCACTGCGCCAGGATGGAACCTGGCTGGCTCCTGGGAGAAGCATCCAACAGCCCTGGGCAGTTGCTGCCTCTAGGTAAGCAGGTGGGTCGATCTTCCTCAGTGCTCCATTTCTAACTTGCAAGGCCCAGAGAAGGGCTTACTAGTGTCCAGGAGCACACAAGGCCCCCAAGGGAGGCTCTCTGATCCTCCTTCACTGTGCACCTCTCCCCTCTTTGCTTGTTATAAAACCCAGGGTCTTTTCCAGAATTCTCACAGGCTAAGTCTGGATTAATGAAATCAAACTGAAAATCCAGATGCCTGTTAAGAGCCACAACTGTCTTTCCTTTCAAGCTGCCCAAATTTATGGGTCTGAGAGAACTGCTAAGTATGTGTCAGGTCAAGCTTGCTGCAGTCAGAAGTGGAGCTCAGTAGAAATTAGCCTCTTACTAGGCTTAGATGGCACTTCCACATGCTTTGAGAAATGCCCCCTTAAGGAACACTGTACATTACTTTTTGTATGTTTTCAAGGCAAATGCCCCTCCCTCCTCTGAGACTGCCTAGCCAACTCTCCAGGCACTAAGCTCCATGAGAATAATCAAGTACCTCCTCTGTATCAAGAAAAGGCAGGGTATAGGTACAGGCCAGCCCTTCTAGGCAGTCTATCGTGTCTGGCATTTAATAGGTAAACTGTTTAGCCCCCTATGACCGTGAATATCCTGTCTTGCCCAAAATTTTCTTGGGCAGCCTGGTTCAGAATCCAGCTTAGTGCTGGCATTTAATACCTACTTGTCAAAGTATTATCATTTCCATTTTACAGATGAAAAGACTGAGGCTAATAGCAGAGTAGCCAGCCCAAGGTCATATGTCTAATAAACAGCAGAGCTGAGCTCTGAACCCATGGCTATCTGATGACAGTACCATCTCACCAATATTCCACAGTACTCACAAAATCCAAATGTCTAACAAAGAACGAGAACCCCTATTATTCGGCAAAAAAGAAACTCACTCTTTGTAATAGTCTGCAACCAAGACAAACTTCATCACAGAATTTCTACAGCAGAGTTAAAGTCTAGCTATTTGGCCAAACATATGCACTGGGTATTTTCCTCTCCCACAGGGGAGCCTGCCCCAGGGATACTTTGGGGCTATCTACTTAAATACTCAAGGATGCTTTCGTTGAGGGGAAGTAAGTATGGGAGCGGGGTCGGGTGGGCCAGGACTATACCCTATTAAAATGCCTGAGGTCACAGGCTTCTTTAATAAAATACATTATTCTGTGAAAGACATGTCCTTTCATCTGCACACTGAAGATTTTATTTTTGCAAATCTATCATATCACTGTGAATTACACTGTACTTTTAAAAAGGACTGCTCCAAGAG